AAAAGTAAAAGATAATGATTTAAATGGTGAGAATAAAGTTGAGATATTCAGGTAAGCATTGCATTTCAACTTGTACTTCTGATAATGAAGATGATAATGATGGTGATAATGAAGATGATAATGATGGTGATAATGAAGATAATAATGATGGTGATAATGAAGATGATAAAGATGGTGATAATGAAGATGATAATGATGGTGATAATGAAGATGATAATGATAATGATAATGAAGATGATAATGATAATGAAGATGATAATGATGGTGATAATGAAGATGATAATGATAGTGAAGGTGATAATGATAATGAAGATGATAATGATGGTGATAATGAAGATGATAATGATGGTGATAATGAAGATGATAATGATGGTGATAATGAAGATGATAATGATGGTGATAATGAAGATGATAATGATTGTGATAATGACAGTAATAATGATAAATGATGATGATTAGTCATCATGGTATTAAATGATGATTTAAAAAAATATTCTGGTTTTACAATGCACCAACACAGTTTGGTCATATAGTGCCGAAACATGAAAAATGATTTCAGCTTACGGGTGTTTCAAACTAAAAGCTACACCAGGGGTCAAAAACACCTCACCTGGTAAAGCTTAAAGAGATGCATAGACTGCAGTAATTTGAACCCATTTAGTCTCCTCTTATGATCATGCATGGTTAAACAGTGGCTGCAATTCTGATGCCTCAAGCCGTAAAGGCAAACCACAAGGGGAATTAAATGATGATGACAATTATGGTGATGATGATTATGATGAAAGTCCTGATAAATGAACTCCTGATTGTATTAAATGGTGGTTTTGATAATTATGATGATGATGATGATACCAATATTAAAAGACAAGAATGATGGCTGTATAGCTCTTTGCTGCTGTTGCTGCTGCTGATAATAATATAGATAAAGAAAATATAACATTTAATGATAAGGATGATCATCATCAAAGTGCTGATAATGAAATACTTTTTGCTGCAGCTGATGGTTATGATGTTGATGATGATAATGTCAATGATGATGAATAGGATATCATGATGATATAGCCATGAAATTCTATCACAGGCATTTGCAACAAATATTAAAACAATGAAATCAAGAGACAGCTTGTAAAACTTTTCATGTCAAGCATCACTCAAGTTATTAAAAGATTGCAATGTCTCTTGTTTGTACAATTAACAACAAAAGCAAAGAAATAATTACACCAATTTCATCAATCAATACAGACAGCACAAGGATAAAGCTGGAATCATCATTCTTCTGTTTAATTTAATCTTGTCTTGAGGTAACTGACTCCTCAAATAACCCAACATTTTATTGATTTCAGCTCTAATAATTATTCATATAAATACAATATTTACATTTACAGGAAAGTGAGGGAACAAAGAAAGATATGGGACTTTAAATGCTCACAATTTTATCTCTTTTTATACTTTTCATACTACCTTGAAAAGTGCATGTGCTTGTTTGTTCTTCTGGTTTTTACACCAATTAAACACTTTTTTGGTCATATATTGAGAATCTATCTAAATTTAACCAATAATTACCAAATTCTCCCAAATGATCCGAGTGAGTGATCAGTGAGCAGTGTCTACTTAAGACAAAAAACCATTAGACTCAATTGGCACAGATAAATTTTGCCCTGCCTGAGGATCGAAATTATGTTGAGAATTAAAATTTGACACTTTATTCATAAATGGACAAAAACCACAGGTGGCAGTATCAGTGTTTGGACACCCCACCCCTATCTGCCCCTGGACCCCTACTACAACCCTGAAAAAAAAAATAATTCAACACTCTAAGGCTTACTATAAGGTACCAAATACAAAACCACCGATGAAATTATATAAAAAAAAAATTTTTCCACTATCAAAATTATAGTTATAGAAAGGTGAAAAGCCTACTATATGTTCATTTGCCAAACAATGTGGAACACGGGAAATCGTCGTTTCGGCGACTGAGGCGCATTCCGGCGGGATTTCGCTGCATCATTCATTAACATCAATAAAAAGAACTAGAATTCCACAGCTTATCTAATTCAAGTTCAACGAATATCACTATCATTCCGATTTTTTCTGTTACCTGGGTTGAAATACTGTGAAATCATTTGTATTCGTGGGCATGAAATTTCGTGGTTTTATCAAAACAGGCATTTTCGTGGGTTCTTAAATTCGTGGATTTTCATTTTCTTGTAAAAAAAATAAGTAATGGAAAGTACTCTTTCACTTAATCACTGCGCTGTTTTACTTACCCCGTGTATATTACACAGCTCTTGTCAATTAATTTAATCCTGGCCTCTGGCAGTAACACAATTACTGCCGATAATTGACTGCAATTAACACCTTTGTGTGACATGATATGCAGCTCCATTATATGCCCCTATAATTCGCCAATGTAAACATCGCATAAATTATACGACATCTGCCAATTTTTAACCAGCCAGTAAAAAAGTTAACACCCCGAATTAGTCCAAAACTACACACTACATCACATCGACTGTGTAAATTTATATGCATATAAATTAATACCAGTAAATGGCTCAATACAGTTACATACATGTATGTGTGCATCTAGTGTAAAGACGACGGCTTCTTTGATATTTTCGGAATAGCAGTCACACAAATACATATTGAAAAAAATATATTTAAATGGATCATATAAACACTAGTCGTTAAAAGTTTTATCGGGGATAATTAATGCACTTGGTTCCCATATTTACTCGATTATGTCACGTATTCTGGCTAACACAATCAAGTAGCCTACAACAAACAAACAAGTCCCCTGATGTTTACATGCGACGAACATTTGTGACAGCAAACTGAAGACATACAATCGATTTTTCTTTCAAGTTTCTTAAATATTGCAAAATTAAACTATTTATGGATTTAATTTGTCACTGACCAGATTATAATATACATTCATACCACAAATATCGGCCGGAAAAGCGCCGACGCATGTTGTGATATATGGAACAGAGACATGGTAAGAAGCGTTTGTTGGGATATAATTTCGTCGGGTCTTAAATTCGTGGATTGACCTATCCACGAAAACCACGAAAATTCGTGCCCCACGAATAATGATGATTTCACAGTACGCGATCTGATTGGACGAGCCAAATTGGACGTCCAATCAGATCGCGTATAACACACAGGTATCAGAATCCAAAATGGCAACGACAAGTAAAAAATTACCGTGAAATAGAAAAAATCGATAGAATATTGATATTCGTTAGACTTGAATTAAGTAAGCTGTGGAATTCAAGTTCTTTTTATTGATGTAAATGAATGATGCAGCAAAATGCCTTCGGAATGCGCCTCAGTCGCCGAAACGACGATTTCCCGTGTTCCACATTGTTTGGCAAATGAACATATAGTAGGCTTTTCACCTTTCTATAACTATAATTTTGATAGTGGAAAATTTTTTTTTTTTATATAATTTCATCGGTGGTTTTGTATTTGGTACCTTATAGTAAGCCTTAGAGTGTTGAATTTTTTTTTTTCAGGGTTGTAGTAGGGGTCCAGGGGCAGATAGGGGTGGGGTGTCCAAACACTGATACTGCCACCTGTGACAAAAACTACATACAATAATAAAAGCAGCACATTTCTGAAAGACAGAAAATCATTACTAACATTTCATTTTTCAAACATTTGAGCAAACTATCAACCATATGACATTTTAAACATAAGCCAATTTCACATATAAACATCAGATATTTTCAGTCTTAGACTGGAACTCAAGTTATTTTCTTTATTCATTGAAGTGAAGCATGAAACCATATGACCAGTCTGGGGTTAAGAAAACATTAATGTATTAAAGGATCAATGCAATACTGCTGTAAATCTATGAACATACATAACACAGTTAGGACACTGTTGTTATTTGATCTCGTACTATGTCTTTAAACCATTACCATCAATAAATGAAAAACAAGATTCCTATTTTAGTTTGCAGCAAGGGATAGAGGAAATTAGGCATGAAAAACTGAGATCTTAATCAACAATCATTAACATTTTTCCCCTAGTAAATCCACTTTAGAAACCTGATGCCATCACATCATGATGGGTTACAACTATGTCTGAAAATACTATAGCTATGTTTGAAAATACTATGTATAACTATGTTTGAAAATACTATAACTATGTTTGAAAATACTGTAAAACATATTTTAAAACAACTTTAAACTTTTGTTACACCAAATAATTTGTTCTAAACACCAAAAAGCATTACAAAATGTGTAGCATTTAAAAACTGAACAATTTTAGCACTAAACTATATTTATCCAAGGGAGGAAACTTTTATTTTCTGAAACAAAGAAAACTTTTTAACTCTAATAATCTATATCGAGTAGTGTCCCCTGTGACAAAGTAAAACACATTTTAACTGATTTTTCGAAACTTTATAATTGCATGTTACTAACTTATAAATGATATGAACATTTTAAAGGATTCAGTATATTAATTATAATCTGTAAAAACATGACAATGTTCACATCCTGTTTTTATTTAACAGATGGTAATTCAAATATTGAAAATTTGATTCATAGACCATTGTTTCAAACAGCATGAGGTCATTGTTTAAAAGCTGCACCATCTGTCTGCCTGTATTCAATAGCTTTTATGAGTTGACAAAAAAAGGAGGACTAATTATGTAACTACATGAGTGAGAATGTTTTTTGCATAAACTTGTCAATGACCCAAGAAACAAGTAACTATAGACTGAGTCATAATTAACCTGTAGTAAAATTAAAATAGCCGCATCACGACAAAACCAACATAATGGGTTTGCGACCAGCATGGATGCAGACCAGCCTGTGCATCCCCACAGTCTGATCAGGATCCATGCTGTTGGCTATCAGTTTCTCTACTTGTTATAGAGTTGTAAGCGAACAGCATGGATCCTGATCATGCTGGTCGCAAACCCATTATGTTGGTTTTGTCATGACGCGGCTCATTAATGTATATAAATAAATAAAGATTTTTCTTACCATCTGTAACACTTTCTCTTGTTTCTGAAATAGAAAAAACAACTTAGTGTACAAAGACAGGGACTTAATCCAGCCTACAATAGATAGTTACTAAACAGTATTACTTCCCTTGTACCAAAGTTTTTAATAATAGAGGAAAGAAATTCAATCTCAGTAAAATTTCCAAGAATTTCAAACCAATCCATAAAAACATCATTAGTTAAGCCTGAAATCTGACAGTGTGCCAACAGAGAATAGACATATCTTGTATTACTACATGGTACTTCATTAAATAATATAAATTCATAAAGAAACTGCAATATTTATATTATTTTACAACATGCTACCTTAATGACAACCTTCAAATGATAGTTATATTCAATTTACTACCAATTTATCTAGTCCAATTATGAGTCCAATACGATCATTATTAGGATTTTGGTTCTTGTCCTGAATATTTGTTCTACCTGATAAAGCTGCCATTAATAGTGATCACTGACATAAATTTGGGCAACTTACACATTATTATCTGACTTAAATCAGCTCTGAACAAGTCTATCTATATTGCTTACATATAAAACACATAAAATATAAACTTCCTATACATGCTTATCAGTTAACATTCAAATCCCTTTAATGCAGAATTGACACAGTTTGGTCACAAACTATATTATCAAAGGTTATTAGGAGTATATAGTACAATAATATGATTTCTCTGAGCAGTGTGTTGGTGTGGGTTGGAGTCAAAATGATAACCTATTACTGTCATTATAATAATTTCTAGCTTGACTAATGGACACCCCCTATCATCCCTTAGCCTTGCTGCATAGAGCCAGACTTAAGTACATACATCAGTGCAATCAGACAAGGCTCTAATGCTGTTGGCCGATTGATTTTCACATTTTCATCCTGAAATTGGTATTAGTTAAGTCTAAATAAACCCAGGACAAGACCTCTACTTAATTAATTCATTATTCATTCAATAATTTGGCCTCCAATGAGTCAAGTTCAAATTCAGTTTGGTCTTCTATCTAGAAGTTGATTTGTCCAAGCATGGATTGACACACCTACTCAACTAGCATCTTCAGCATTATTGGCGACGCCGGTGAGCGGCGTCGTCTATTATGGAACGCTTTTTATTTTTGCCTATGGAAGGAGCTGTTATTATTAGCAGTTAATTTCATGTTGTGTAAATTAGTTTTATTTTGATTCGTAAAAATCAAGTAAACAAATGTGTTGTTATATTTGTATTTAATAACTTTATGTAAAAAGCATGTGCATTGTGATATTATTTTCACGAAATTGCGGGTTAAGTTTAACAGCTTGTCCCTTAGTTTTAATGACAATACTAAAACCCGGATTTCGAATATCGTTGTGGTCTAGATTGAGGCCGTATCATTTATACATTTTCAAAATTTGCCTACTAGAAGAAAGTTCACCTGCAATTGAGTATAAGGATAGGTAATGAAACTGTTGTAAACGATTATCCTATTGATTTTATCCTTATTACATTTATCTGTTGCGCAGAATGGTTGTTTTTACAAAGTGTACCAGTATCCGGATGTTGAAAGCTATCCGATTTTCTGCAATTACTGCTGACACATGGCCATCTATTTTTTTATGAATACTTTACCATTAATTTGCATGGCTTGATAAAATTGAACCTGCAATATTTCATAATTTTGCTGTTTATCGTGTTCTTTTGGGTTTCAGGTTTTCTTTACTTTAAGGGGAAGTAACTTATGTTTACTAAATTATTTGTTCTTTTCTGTCTATCTTAGGTATTACTTATAATACTATTTTTGTTGTATATAATTCACCAGTTGTAAGGTCATCAAAAGCATGTTAATGTTAATGTTAGGATTTCATATTTATTTAATATAAACTGGGAATTATTAATGTTATGTGCATGTACATGTATATCTTAGACAGTAGTATATTGATATTTTGAGACTTATAATTTTTCTGCATTTAAAGAGATACAGTTATGTCATTATTATTAAAGGGATGAGACTTTCATTTAAAGTTATAAATGATAAAACATGTATTGATTGAAAATGTCCTTAAACTTGGATCAAGCAATATAATTAATAAAGTCTCAAAAAATCATATTCTGAATAGTTATTCTATTTTTTTCTAACATGTGCATAGTTTGAAAAGTACAGCTTCTGTCTTATCTATTTGTAATGAAGAGACACCGGTCTCAACCTCCAGGTCTCCTGAGTCAACGCGACAACAGACTCTACATAGAGTAGATTGTTACTTGCCCTTGAATAAATTTGTGCACTAAATTTATAGTGGGTGATTTGTGCCACATGAAAACCAACATAGTACAAAAAGTAACTGGGCGCCAGATGAAAACATGAAAATACAATCTACCACAAAGTGGTTTGTTTGTTGCATTTTCATGTTTTTGCCCGGTGCCCTTGATGCAAAATACAAATCAGCCTTCATAAAATTTCTTCTTATGTTGGTCACAGGTTAATGAGTTCTGGTCAAGCTCAAAGTTTTTCTCATCCTATGACTGCATATAAGCATGAGTTCAATTTCCTATGCTCTGTAACATAAGAAATTCACGAACACAAATCGATATAGTGGGGTTTAGAACTGTTTCATTATTAAAGAGAAAATGTGTAGCAGGACGGATAGCTCAGTTGGTCTTCTGAAAGTCATGGGTTTGAGTCATGGTCAGGCAGTTTCAGTCAGGGTTTAGAAGTGGTTTTTCAATTGACACATGTTTGATTCATTTAACAGATTGCATTATTTGAAATGGACAAAGGCAGTATTGCATGATACTTTTAGATCTACAAAGGGCATTTGATACAGTTGAACACACTATCCTGCACATGAAGAAGTTGTTTTTCTTCTTCTTCATGAAACTTCAAGCATCTGCCATATATAATGACATTCTTACATGGTTTAAGTCTTATCTCTGATAGTAGCTGGTTGATGTGGCTGGTACTTATTCTACTACTGCTCTGAGTACCTATGCTGTCCCCCTGATGTTCATTTTAGGTCCTCTTTTATGTCTAATATATGTCAATTACATGTCTTCAACCCTAAGCAATAAGCTTTTATCATAATGCACAGGCACGAGTATCAGACCTTGGATGAAAAAATATGGCCAGATTGATAAAAAAACCTGTGTTCATCTTAAAAGTGTCAACAACCAAAATAAAATGTAAATAATGACCCCCTTTAAAAATATACTTCAAGTTGAAAGTATATTTTTAATGGGGATCATTATTTACATTTTTTGTTTTGGTTTTTATAAACACAGTTTTTTTTTATCAATCTGGTCATCTGGTCATATTTTTTCTTCCCAGGTCCGATACTCGTGCCAGTGATTATATGCTGATGACTCAGGAATCCTTGTGTCTCATAAATTAAATCTGAAGAAATTCTTTCTTATGACATGAGTCTTATAAGATTGCTTAATTGACTATAAATTGCCTTTGCATCTTGGCAAGACAGAGTCTATTCTTTTTTGGTTTAAGTTTCAACTTAACCTGGCCCTAGCCTCCAGGTCACATGTAATGGTACTGCTATAAAGTACACATCTTTTGTTAAGTATTTAGGTGCAAATCTGGATCAAATTCTTTTGGCGTCACCCTTTGATGCTTTGCATCAATGCTTTTCTTGTTAGTGCTTTGTCCCATTTCTGGTGCTCCTGTTGTGAGCTAAATCTTAAGACAATTACAGACAGGTGAATCTCCTTTTCTGATTACTGAGATCTTATTAATCAAATATGTTTGAAACTTAAAACTGTAATTGGAACTTTCTACTTTTATAACAAGATTAATAAGAATGTAGTATCTGTTTTAGATATTCAAGTGCAAAACCTTACAAGCTGTTTCACTGAAAACAGCATGCATCATGTTAAAAATGTTTCATTTTATATATCAAAGACATTTTACCTTTTCAAGTTTTATCAAAGTTACACTTGTATTGACTACCTACAGCTTCTAGGTAAAGTATCAGTGTCAAAGAGTAAAATACACCAACATTTATTAATTATAATTGTCCAGTGTTGCAGGTGTGTACACGGTGCTACAGGTGTTAAACCATGTTTAAGTGTTTGTTGGCCACATTAAAGCATTACTTTAGAATGTATTTATAAAAGCAGTTGACACTGCCATTTTACGTATTTGATCAAAAAGCAAAGAACTGTGGGGGATGACGAGTAAGAATGCCTGGTAGTCAATAAATCATACTGGATATAAGTCAATGATGATAATACAATGCTCATGTACCAAAACATATTTAATTCTTACTCTCTGAAGTAATGATTAATTAACAGGATATGTGAGATGTTCTGATTTCATGTGTTACTATATGGAGTTTGCTATTTATTTACAAGATGATCTGGTCCGGCCTAATACCTCCCACAATCAGAGATTTCTGAAACACAAGCTATGATTTACACATAATATAGGATAGGTTTTCTGATTTAATTCAGTTTCCAACACGTGCAATTAACTATTAATGTTGCTGTATTTACTCTTACACTGATACTATACCCAAAAAGTTGTTAGTGGACATAGTAAGTAAATTTTAACAAATTTGATAGGTAAAAGGACTTTTACATATAAAATAAAACATTTTTATCATTATATAAGCTTTACACTGTTTTCAGCAACACAAGTCTAAAAGTTTTCACATGTTAGTCTTATCAAAATGACATTATTTTAGCTAAGAAAATAAATAAATGTATACACTCTATAATAATAACCAGTTTTAAATATGAAAAGGGATATTGATAACATAGAAATCACCATAAAATAATACCATCTACCATGATCTGTCCAAGTTTGTGTAAACAATAATAAAACCGAAAAATGCACACCAGACTTAAAGGGAAGCACCAATATTGATAAGATATCAATTCAGTAGGTTTGATGAAAAATTCAATAGATTCATCAGCTAATTAAATTTATACTACCGAGTACCTAATTTTCTTTCTTTTTATGCTTACTATTGTTTTCCATTGGTTTGAATAGCCTCTTTTACATGAAATAATTCAAGGCATGTAATTCAACATCAGC